GTAAAACTGTTCTTATTGGAATTTTTAAAAATGCATATTTGATGACTGCAGTAAGCTATATAGCCCTAGCTAGGTACTACTTTATAGTATGTTCATTCTACTCACTGAGGTTTATGCCTAAAGTCAGACTTGGGTTCATGTATAGGTATATATCAGCTGCCCTTGCTATTGGAAATATTTAGACTAATTAAGTTCATTAGTAAATCAATTAAATGGGAGGGAAAGGCATAGAAAGCAACCATGGATACCAGAGACAATGTGAGAGGAGGGTGGACATGGCAGAGGGTGAGGGATAGGGAATCAAGGATGGCAAAAAAAAAAAAAAAAGTATACAAGACATAAGAAATGGAAAATTATTTGCTGATAACATGTATGTTGATGTGCTTGATTGAGCCAATATACAGTGTATTTTGGACGGAAAATTCATTTGTATACTGTAATGATGTATAGTGAATTAAGGTAAAAAATAAAGAGAAAAAAATGCCACAAAAATGGGTCTTAGTTGTCTGCTCACCACTTTTAGTTCTAAAAATCACCATATTTGTGTTCTATTTTAATAGCTACAAAGAGAGGGAGAGGGCTGTGACAAAACTGAAGACAAGTGAACCACCGTCAACAGTGTGTGAAAGAAACTGGCAAAAGTGTGCTGGAGCTGGCAAATGCTCCTAGCAGAGCTGAGCAGGCCCACTGAGGGCCGCTCACTGGTGGGTGCCTGGAGATGGCTGTGCTTTCCTGCTCAGTCCACTGCTCCTGGGCTCCCAAGGCTGCACAGGCTTTCCTGCTCCTCCCACAGGGCCCTCACCTGGGAGTGGAGGGCGTCAGCAGGATCTACACGTCAGACCCCGAATAGCCACAGTCACTCACACGCTTGCCCTGCTCCATGGTTGGCCCCGTAGGGGTGGCATGCCAGACCGGCGTTCTGCAAAACCATTCCCCCCAACTGATGCAATTGTTGCAGGAGGCCATTGTGGCCTCTCTTGGCAGCTCTGGTGCAGCCAGGAGACCTTCAAGTGGATGGGTAGGGATTGAGAGGTGTGCGTGCTGGTGCTTGCTGAGATTAGGGAAGGCCAGGCCAAGAGTGAGCTATTGTGGTCATCTGGTCAGTGTCCTGATGCCTGTGGGGGACATCCAAGCCGAAAACTGAAAGGTGTTCGAGCCAGGAAAAGTAGGTTTGGGGAACGCTGTGAGGAGTTCTCTGACCAGAGCAGACATTAGCCTTGGAGAGGAGAAGGCAGCCAGGATGCACACTGTGCAGAGGAGCATGCAGGGACAGCTGCAGGGTGGGGCAGAGATCAGGAAGGAGAGCAGCCAGGAGGGTACAGACAGGTGAGGAGAGGGTGCCATAGGAAGTGCTGGGAGAGGAGGTGCCAGGTTTCAGGGAAGTCCGCACACACAGACACCAAGAGGAAAGCAAGAGAGACAGGGGCTACAGACCAGCTCGCCGTGGCACGTGAGCCCAGGGCACCATGTGAGCATCCCTACAACCCCACTAGCATGTCTCTGAGGGGAAGTGAGGACGGGAGCTCTGTTGGAGACGCTCATACTCCACCTCCTTACGTAAGGACGAGCAAAGGGACAAAAAGGAAAAACAGCACAGAGCCCGTAAGCCCTGCAGAGTATTCACAGCCCAGGTGCACAGGTCCACGATCAACAATAGGAAACACTCCCCACCCATGTCTATAGCAGCCTCTGAGGGCTCTGACCTCAGGGGACACAGTGATTAGTGGGAGAAAGTCTCACCTGAACTTGATCCACTCCATCAAGGGGTGATGTCATCCCACCCCGAGCCAGCTTCCCCTCTGCAGGGAGACAGCCATGTGTTCATCACCTTGGAGTACATGTGCCAGGCAAGGAGAGTAGGTGCATGTGTGTGTCTGCCTCAGCTTTTTCTCAAAACTGGGCCAAAATGACTGCTTTTAAGGCAGAAATCAACAGGGATGGGAGATGAACAAGTAGGTGATGGCACCATCTGGGAGCCAAGAAGTTCACAGACGTGGGACAAATAGCCCTGGAGGCCCCAAACACTGAACTTATAGCCAGAGTTCAGGAAGCTCAGAAACAGCACAGTCCACACTCCAGAACCCGTACAAACTGACAGCGCCAGGCTCTGCGAAGTGGGGAAGGGCCGAAGCGACTGCAGGAGACGCAGTTTCGAAAGACAGCAGACCACCCCCACTCATTCCAGCCCAACTTTGAAAGCCAGGCACTTGACTCCCTCCAGACAAAATCTTGAACTTTATTCTCTAAAGAGGGTAAAAAAAAAGGTCTGAAGGGAGGGTAAGAATGTCTAGCTAAGGCTGGAGATCCCTCACCAAGTTAACTCCTAAGGGAGCGTATACGTCCATAACTCTGAGACATTCGGGCCCTTGGCTCGCAGCTGGCCAGTGGACCATCTGGCCCCTCTAAGCAGGAGAGGGCATCTTTTTGGAAGATGGCCAGCTCATGCCATCGCCACACTGGGGCTGTGACGCTCCTACTACCAAGGCACAGCCACACATTCCACTTTCTCAAGGCTAGGGCAGCCGCTCTGCAAACACCTGTGAGCCCAGACCTGCAGAACCCAGAGCAGATGCCTCTCAGAAGCCCAAGACATTGTGTTTGGAAGCTGGGCACCTGGATTTTAGAGGCTGAGGACACGGGTCCCCAAGGACATGCTCCTGGTGCCCTCTAGAATCCTGGGTATGAGAGTGTGCAAAATCTAAAGGCTTAAAAGACCAAAACGGCCTCTTTTTTTTTTTTAAAGGCTCTCACTGAATCGCAATCCTTCCACCCTGGGCTCCTGAGTAGTGGGAATACAGATAGGCCTGGCTTTTGGGCATCAGACCCGACTCCCAGGCAGCCTCGACCTGCTGAGTGGCAGCATCTGCCAGTGCGAGTGAGCCAGAGCAGCTCCTCCACACCGGGGGTTCTCTGCAGGCCGAGGGCTCTCCACTCCCGTGTTCCTTATACACTCTGTTCTCTCTCTAGGAACTAAGCAACACTCAACCACACCCCAATCACCACCCTTAGAGGACTTCGGAGAACCCACAGCTCTTCTCCTGGCATTCACCTGCTGGGGGCAGCATAGTCACACTGAGCCTGGGCAACTGTGAGGACAAGGCCGAGTGGGCCAAGCCAGGACTGTTTAGAGTCGATCCATGACCCAGTGTGGCTCTCTCTTCTGTGTCCCACCAGCCCCGATTATGAGCAGAGTCCCTGCTGGGCCCCACAGAAAGGGTCCCCATACCTCTGCCCCACTTCCCCTCAGATCCCTATCCCCATGGTCAGCTGTGGGCCTCTACAGCTCTCTCCCCACCATGCTATGTTCACATTTGTTTAGACAAAACAGAAGCTGTGCAGAGACCAGAGGTGTCAGATTCCAAAGTACATCACTAATGGTGAGACCAACTGAGACCAGCACCTGCAGAGCCTTCAGGCCTAACAGACGGTCCCCAACGTCACTGGTCTTTGGAATTATCTGGAAGTCTTTAAAATGAGTCCATGCCCATGCTTCATTCCGGAGAGGCCTGGGGTGCGTGGGCTCCTCTGGAAGGCAACGTTTGGAGAACAGGATGGATGAGAGGCCAAGCTTCAAAGGGAGAAGAAGTCGAGACCATGGCAGGCTCCCCCATGTGGGGACGGACGTAGCGATTCATTCTCTGGGCATCCAGCTCCTCCTGGCCTCTGCTCCTCACCTGCCGCCAGGCAGCCAGGAAAGGGCCTCCAGCCACCCCTGCCCCCTGGTAAGGGGTATTACAGCCCCCACCTCTCCAACCAGCTGTCAGAGCCCCCAGAATGACCCTGTCAGCTTGTGAGGGACGTCTAAGGTGGTCTAGTCCATACCTGCCATGCAGATGTGAAGAGGCCCAGCCCCAGGCCACTGGTTCTTTGTCCATGGTGGGGCTCAACAAAGGAGACATCTCGGGGTCTCCCTTACAGCTGCACACGCTCAACATGTGGCCAGTGTCTGCAAGCACCTGCCCCAGTGCCTCCAGACATAGAAATTCTCCCCAGGCATCTTGCACACTGTGTAAGGAGAACAGGGGCTGGAAACACAGCCATAAATTTCTAGGAATTTTTCAATGAAGATGAATCCTTTGGGTGTCAGAAAGAAGCTCAAAGTGTGCCTCCAGGACCAGATTCCCAGGGGCATAAGAAACATGTTGGCAGTTCAGGCTGAACATAATGTGACTAGAAACCCTAAATTTATCATACCTTGGGAGGATTTGAGCTCCACCTGACGTGAAAGTGTGGGAAAAAAATTCATTAGACTTCTCAGTCATATGTGTATACCACCTTCAGGCATGGCTGGATCCAGGCACTCTAAAGAGGTCACCAAAGACTTCTCTCTTCTTCTCCCTTCCACCTCTATTTCTCAGCTCACCCTTCTGCTATAGGACTATAGATGACTTCCTACTTGTGACCAGGATAGATGGCCCAGAGTAGCCCCAGTTCTACAACACTAAGTCTAACAGCCCTGGCAGGAAGAGTTTTTTTCTTCCTGTCCCTAAGAGAAAACTGGGAAGAACTCAATTTGCACACATCTGGTCATGTGGGAAGGAGGAGGATACTTAGACCTAGAACCACACATCAGGGAGAATGGAGGATCCAGAGGGAAATGTCAGCTGAGCCAACACAACATCCAGGAGAGGTCAGGGACAGAAGAGTCCCCCCTCGTGTGCTCTCAGGAGGGTGAGGAAGGCAGGCAGCACCCTCCCCACAGACCACGGCATCAACTCACAGTCAGAGTGGACTTTTATTAGGAAATCACCCTGCAAACACACCATGAAGGGCTGTGGGTTCGACGTGTTTCCTGAGGAAGGAGCGTCACAGTATCAGAGCTGTCAGAGGGAGGGGCTCGCGCAGCCCAGGAGTCCAGCCGCTGCTCAGGGCGGGGCGGGC